GCAAATGGACAAAATGTTGACGAGAGGCTGAAAGCAGCACGGGAGAGAAGAGAAGAGCACCAGAAGCTGCTCGGTATGTGAAGCTCCTATGATCCTGCAATTTTCCTCAATTAAAGAAAAAGAACAATTGACATACACAACCGATTCGTCTGTTTATGCTGGTTGACTTTTTATTCCCTCAGTGTCCCGAGAGCTGAGCAGGTTGGAGCGGGAGCAGCAAGCCAGGCGATACTATGAACAACAGCTGAAGCAGCGCAAGAAGAAACTCCTGGAGCAGAGGCTCAAAGAGGAGAGGAGGCGTGCTGCTGTGGAAGAGAAGCGCAAGCAGAGACAGAGGGAGGAGAGAGTGAGTGTGGATGGTGGAAGTAAAAAAAAAAAAAGTTGTATTGTTTATTTTTGGGGATGCCTTTCTGATGCCACAGCTGTGGTTTGAACGCTGATATTTGTTTTCCTGAATGAAGGAGCGATATGAATCTGCAGTGCGTAGGACGCTGGAGAAGAGCCAGAGAGCCCAACTGAACCTGAGTCAGAACTCAAGGGGAAGGAAGCTCACCAAAAACGGTAAGTATACATAAACATGCTCTCTTTTTTTCTCCTCTTTTTTTTTTTTTTTAACTGACGCTTTCTTTACTTATAGCACAATTGTCTTTGTAACATTCTGAACACAACCATTCTTGGCTTATCTTTTGTTTTTGCTGCGCTCAAACCTTTACGCTGATCAATACGCTAGTTCCTCGTCGCTTACCGCTGACACCATGGGAGAAGAACTTGGTCAGTCGCCTCCTTACCCCCACATGCTCTTATCTGGCCAGGAGCAAGAGTGCTGCTTGTCAGTCAGGAGAAGAAGGTACTCTCTCCCATGATAACAGACTGCGCCCAATTGCTTTTATGTAACAGCAGTGTAATGCTAATGTATGGCTATTATAAGCTTTTGCTTCAATCAGCCTGTCCTGTCTCTGAAAACTAATGCTGCTCATTTTCCTCTCTGTTTACTTCACATTTCCATGATGGCTTCCTCCATTTTTTTTATACCTAAATTCAATACAAATCACTGTCTCAGTTGTCCATATTTGTCGCCGTGCAGTTTCATTCCACTCCATGAATATCACCAACACCACCCCCTCCCCTAAAAAGCCCCAGCACCACTCTGTTCCAGTCCAGCACAGACCATCTTCCTCACCAAGTCCAAACAACAGAAGCATCAATCAGACGCAGGTAATTCCAGCTGTTCCTCTGGTCTTAAGTGCATGCTGTGTTGCCGAAAGATGTCTTTTATATCAGTTTTAGTTGTAGATAGTTTAAGTTTGTATTTCATGTTTGGACTATATGAGCAACATGGTACAAGGAAGTCAGAAAATTCACAATTGTTCTTCTTTTCTGGTTTAGTTTAAAGCAGCGAGAAAGCAAGAAGCAAAGAAGAAGAGCTCAAACAGTCACTCTAATCCTAAATCATCTGCTGTTAACACCATTGGGAAACCAGCTCAAGTAACACAAAGTAGAACAGCCTCACCTTCACCTGAAAGGTATGAGAAATGTCTGTGACCATGCATCTCTGACATACTAGCACTTATTTGAACAAAGTGGGTCACCCCCTCTCTTCTGCTGCTGCTCCTCTCTCGAAGGAGTCCACGAAGATCGATCAGCAGACATTCAACCCCGCTGCAGCTGGAGCTCCCGTCGGTCCCAGAGGAGGATGTTACTGTTTGTAGGTCTGCCCTTGCTCCTGGTAACTCGAGGCCTGTACGAACACCAGCCGAAGGTCAGCATGAGAAAATGAAGGATGAAAATCCATGTTTGAACCTGTCTGACAAAGTGGCTGAAGCTGTAACAAGAACAGCAGGAGATGGAAGTAAGACACAGAAATGCTCAAAAAAAGAGTGCAGTATTTTTTGAAGTGTGTTTCAGGTGTCTAATTAGGTGATTATCTTCATGCCCTCGTCATGCAGCTCCACAGCCTCCTGATGTCACTTGCAGGACCTCAGGCGGGACAACCGACCAAGAGGCAGCCTCGCGTCTCCTAGCTGAAAAGAGAAGAGAGGCCCGACTACAACGGGAGAGAGAGGAGCAGGAGCGCCTACAAAGAGAGGAGGCCGACAGGTAAGAAGAGAGACAGAAACACTTTAGTGTAAATCTGTTGCACTACAATAGCTGTTTTCACATATGCACGCCTGACAATTAATGGAACATTTCAGGACAGCCTGCCCCTTATAACACGCACAACGATTGCACCAGTCGCTCACTGGTCTCGTGATATAACTGTCATTACTGTTCCTCCTCCTGGTCACTTGGGGGGGGGGAGACATTTTCAGGAGCTTTGTGTATGTGCCAATTCAGCAAATCTGTGACATGTGCAGGCGGAGTCGTGAAGAACTGGAGCGCAAGAGGTCAGAGGAGCGAGCGCGACAGCAGGCCGAGGCTCAGCGTCTCATAGAGGAGAAGAAGAGACGGGAGGAAGAGGAGCAGAGACGAGCCGAGGAGGAGAGAGCCCAGGCTATGAGGGAAGCTGCCCTCCTGCTGAAACAGGTGACACATCTTAACTTTCCTCATGAGGGAAACGGCATCAACAACCAACAAGCATCCCTGTCAGTTCTTTTTGTGATTCACTTAACTTTTGAAGGACAATTTTACTGTTTTTTTTTTTTAACGTGTTCATTTTAAATTTAGAGAGAGGAGGAACAAGCCAAAGAAAAGGCAAAAGCAGAGCAGTTAAAACAAGAGAGAGAACTCCTCGCACAGAAAGAGGAGGCAGCTCGACAAGCCAGGAAAAAGGTGAATATAAAAACATGTACTGTATATTAATATCCAAAGTCTTATTTAAGGGAGTTGTTTTTCCACAAAGCCAACCATGACAGAATTTTAATGAAAGCTGTTTGTCTTTTTTCAGCGACTTGAGGAGATCATGCGGAGAACCAGGAGGACAGATTCTCCAGATACGGTGAGGTTTTACTGTTGGCTTTTTTTAATTTTTTTAAAAGAACACCACCTCTGGGCTCTCATGACGCAAATCTAGTATCCCCTCACAACTTACTAAATCCACTTCTAAGAGCTGAACAGCTTGTCCGAGACTAAGTTGGTTAATACCTTTCAAAACAGAAATCTGTGCCGGTGAGGATGCTGCCAAATGAAGCCGAACCAAAGGAAAACACACAGCCTGCACACAATGGCACAATAGAAGACGCTGTCAAGCTGCCGGTGGGGACCAAGACCTCACAGCTCATGCCGAGCAATGAGGAGGCCATGGTACCTGTCGTGGCCTTCAAAGAACGCAGGTCTCTTAGGACCCTCACAGGCCTGGAGGAAATCCAGACTCACCAACGAGCAGGTGAGACACAGACATTAAATCCTAACACATTCTGATCCCTTTTATCAGTCTATAGTGTATTATTATTAAGGTGTTATGTTTTTTTTTTCTGCTTTTTTCTTTATGCATGTTCATCCTTTTTTGTGCGTGCCTATAACATTTAGTGCAAACATCCCCTTGGACTGAAGAATGAAGTGATTAGAATTTGGTGGTCCAAGGTCACTATGATCTTTTAATAAACATATTTGGCCATAGTTCAAGAATGTATGTTCTTATTATGAATGTCACATGTGTCTAATAGAAATGTTCTACCCAAAAGGAAGGGCCTAGTCAAGGCATAGGCGATAAAGGCGGTCGCCTAGGACTCTGGAGGGGCACTGCCTAAAATCCTGAATGTGACTTATATAGCCTGAATATGTTGTTGACTGCCAGATTGACAAATTCCCTGCTCTCCACACTCACATTCACCACTCACTCGCTCAACCACTTACTCACTGCAAACCACTAAACCGGTTACAGCAGAGCCCACCATACTAAAAGCCCACAGGACAACTTCTTTGTGCCGTACTGTTGTGGAAAAGCACTTTTCTGGACAGTCCTATTCTATTGGAAATTACATTTTAGGAATGTCTGGAGGAAATATTGACAAATTTGGCACAAATTTACTTTTGGTGGTAAACAGCTTTTAATGCAGAAAGCACACTGAAGTTTTCTCAATCTAAAAAACAAATATTTCACCCCAAAATGCGATGCTTTGACATATTTGAGACATTTCATTTATTGTCACTGTATTTTTTTTTTATACTTTCAGAGGTCATCTGAGCATCTGAAAAGAAACCAAATGTGTCACAAAGACTTCGTTGGAGAGCTGTGAGTTCTGTGAAAAACAGGAATCCCTGCAGCACAGCCACTTTGCTGCCCTTCTGCACCTTGAAAGCGCATGTAAAATTACAGCCTTGCCTCTCACCGAGGAACGTCAGCATTCAGGCACCTTTCTGTGTGTAACCAGTGGCACAAATGTTGGAGAAGTTATTTCTGTATGACTTAAGTACAGCACGTTTCTGAACTGAAAATTGAAGATGTAGACAGTGGGGTGATAGTTTGCTGGAAAATGCAGTCTATCTTTTCAGAGAGTGTTGCCTCTGTGAAATACTAGGAATAGCCATTCTAACAGTCACAACTTGTGTCAGCCATATGCTTTCTGCTTATTCCTGATATTTCTTGCTATGAAAGCACTTTTTCCTTCCTCAGTTTTGTCACTGTGGAATTAGAATAGTGGCTGTTTGCACTACAAAGACTTAAAGTTGTAACTCCCTGTCCTACCCTGTCGTCTAGTGAAGTTTAGCAATCACATATTTCAAAGCTGCTAAGGAAGTTAGTTTCTGAAGACTTTGCTTCAGTTTGTGAGTGTTGATATAGAGAGAATAAAATGCACAACGCGTATATTGCACTTCTAGTTGCTTTGTATGATACTGCGCAATCACTTTACAGAGCAAAGTTTAAGGCGTTAAGTGAATTTATTATCATAAAAGCATCTTAAAATTGTATCCAATTATGAATATTACATCTTTTTCTTAGAAGTATCGCTTAAACCTGTTCAAATATATGCTATAATCAATTAAAGTTGATCCTATGCCACATCTTTGCCTTGTTTTTCCCTTTATTTGTTAAAAACATAAAAAAATGGATGAAAAATAAATACATAAAAAGAAAAACATTTTATAAAAATGGTACTTGTCAATACAGTGCATGAATAAGAAAATGTAGTACAGGTCACATCTCCGAATGTTCACAGAGGAAGGGAAGGGTTAACAGAAGGAGAAAGGGGCTGAATCATCTCAGCAGCCGCCTGGTTTCCTCCGTCTGCGCATGCACCTTCCAGAGCTGAGCCTCCAACTCACTGTCAGCCAGCAGTGAGGAAAAGTCTCCATCTGCAGATGAGAGCAGCACAAACCAGGCTAAGAACTGCTCAATTCCAAATGATTTTATTTTACATTTTGTTTCCGCACATTTATGATGAGAGGATTTGAAGGGCTGCAGTGACCTTAGTTTCTAAATACAAAGATGTAAAACGAAACACAGACCTTTTTTGAGGTTGAATGTTGTAACTATGGCAAGTTGCTGGAACTTTACATCTTTCTTTTGTAGAAACACCAACAGGTAGTCCAACATGTCTATATAGTGAGGTCTCAGGAACTGGGCCGTCTCATCTACATGAGAAGCAAAAATTACAGAATGATATTTTTGATATTCATAAAATGAAACGAGTCATGATTTGATGTTTTACATTACCTGTCATGTCTAATTTGCTGATGATGGCTGCACTGGTGAACGACAACTGAGGATTTTGCATTTGTCCCAACAGCTTCACTAGTCTTGAAACTTGTTCTGAGGTAATTTTCATGGACACTTTAGACTTCAGTGGACCTGACATTGAAAATAAATTGATAAGGATTATGAAAACAAGACATGCAAAACAATTTTGTTCTGTAATGCTCAACACTGAGCTGCAGATATGAGATTCCATGGAGCAGAACATAACTTGTTCACTTCCAGCTCACTCACCCCAGGTCATCAGGTGATTTAAGTGTGATGTCACGTGCAGCAAGGTCTCATCTGACAGGGCGGGGGACTGAAGGGCGCAGAGGAGTCCTGGAAAACATGAAGTCTCCACCGCAGCCTGGATAACAAAGATTGCATTCAACGCAGCTGAGCGAATGGCAACACACACAAACAAGTCATGTATGAAACACAGACATGCAATTAAAATTCATGAATTGTAGCCTCTGTGTACCTGCCGACCCATACAGGAGCTGCACAGGTCAGTGATTATCTTGCAGCTGTGTGTGATTATCACTGCGTTTGATTTCTGATGATGTAGCAGTTGACCGATTTCATCCAACAGGCTCTCACTTAAAAGGACTTCCTGAAATCAAAGCAGGACAATATCATACATATATATATATATTGGGATTTATACAGTGTAGCATGTGTTATTATCCTGATTTGTAGGAAATCATACATGGTTTGGTGGGTGTGCAGACAGTGTAGAGAGTAATGTTATTGCTGACTCAGGGGAAGATGTTTGCAGCAGAGCCTTCAGAGGCAGCACACAGTCCAGCTCCATCAGCTGCTCCTGGATCACAACTACACACACAAAGAACAAAATTAATAGCAGCTGCTTTTGGACATGGTCTTAATTTTTGTCAATAACTAAATGATTACCATTCTTTGAGAGAGTTTGAAGACACCTGCATGCTTGGGTCGAATTCTGAAAAGGAATTTAACATACATATATATATATATATATATACATATTCCATTTTTTCTAGTTCATCTTTAAGCCACTTAAGTTTGTGAATACCTTTACTACGGAGGAAGACATGAGAGTCAGAAGAGACTTTAATAAATAATGACCCCCCATGCTGAGGAGCTTTGGGTGGTGCTCCTCCACAGCAGAGATGTTGCACAGAGCGGTGCAGCTGTAAAACTGCACCACTGAATCTGTAGACTGCAGCAGAAGAACCAGAACAGGAATAGCTCCTGCTTGACATACAATTCTGGTCGACCAATCTGGGAATAAAAAAATAAAAAAAAGAGAAAGTTTTGGATGTTTCCATGTTAAATTGAAGAAAAAAACTACATGAACACAGCAGCTTGAAGTTTTGGGAACAACATGCAAAGATTCTGCAGAAAGGATCCAACCTGACTGTGTGAGATGTAACAGAGCCCACGTTGCATTCTGTTGCACCTGGGGATCGTAGGATTTTGCCAAAGCCAACAGTGGGATGATTCCGTCAACCATGATAGTTTCCCTGTTTGTTTCTGCAGGAAAAGAGATTAAAGCTCTACACATATCTTAAATATAAGGTCTAGGCCCCCTAGGGGAAGTGCCAAAGATCTCATGGGGGGCATGAAGCTTTGTTTTCTCTGAGGGTGTCAAAACTAGTTTTGCAAAGAAATACACACGCACTGTAAAGACCTAATGTAACACTTAATAACTAGCATGATCAAAGTGCACTGGATGCAAGCTTCACTGTCTAGACAGATGTGAGAACCAGTAAGTAATAGTTACAATAAAAATAAAGACATACAGACTGAAACTTTAAGGAGGGGGGGATTTCCCAAAAAAAAAAAAAAACATTTTCTACAGTCTGTACAAACCTGAGGAGGCCAACATGGAGACGCAGGCACAGGAGTGACACTGAGCGGTGGAATCACCAGACTGGAACATCTCCATTATAGGTACCAGCATCCCCATTTCAACCACTGATGCCTTACACACTGAAATCACACTTTCTGGACATTAATGATGGTCATCCTTTTCACAAAAGTTGTTAATATAGTTGTAAGCTTTAAAAAGTGTTGATTTCAACTGTTAAACAACTTTAATACAAACGCTAAAACGTACTGTGTGAATCTTTTCTTTTACCGTTATTCTTTGCTAGCAGATTGACCAAAGAGAGGGAGATAGTCTTCTGCACATCCAGGTCCGTTGACAATAGTAAGGCCAGTACTGGCTCCATGAAGGACTCTGATAGGGGAGATTTCACTGCAACACACAATTACGAAACAGCAAAAAAAAAGAGAGAATAAAATAAGGACAAACAATAAACTGGTAGTTGTATTAGAATGATCGAAAGGTTGTGCACAGTCTAGATTAGCTGTCAGACTCAAACACTAAAAAATATGACGGTTGGCTGGTTTTTAATTCACGTTCAAGAAAAAATAATCTCTTCCAGGTTTTATCAACCTCGACCACTGACACATTTATGCAAACTACAGTGTGATCACACATTTACTACAAGGCAAAACTTGTTCTTATTTTATCAACACAATGGTTTAAAAAATGAAAAAATGATCTATAAATAAACATTAATTTCATATGAATATCTGTTAGTTAGGATTTGAAAAAATAAAACCCAATTATTTGTTCTTCATAATGAAAATAAAGCCCACACATGGCTAGATATTGAACCAGCTTCAAATAAAAAAAAAAGGACGGTTGAAAATTTGCATGATACTGGTCATACCCGTTGGAGAGCTTATCCCATAACAAGCGATATGAGAAAGCTGAAGTGCAAACAATGGTCTCATTTTATGTGCCACTGCTGTGCAGGAAAGAGCTATCAAGAAGATTTTAAAATGCAGCATAAAAATCTGTTTGATTTCTTTACTCACCATGATGGCTGAGATGTAAATAATAAATGGCTGCAGTCATTTGTAGATCAGTGTTTTCGGAGGCTGCAAGTCTGTTCAGTGCTTGTAGACTTTCTGGATTAGGAAGTTGAGTTTCATTATCTAAGAAAAGGAGAAAATAAAAAATGATTTATACAGTTGGTTGGTTTGAATGAAAACACTGGTTTAACGCTCCTGTGAGGAACTTTTGGTTTGGGGACGATTTTGGGGACTCCTTTGGACTAAGCTGATTTTGTCCTGTATAAGTGTAAATAGTGTTAATAAAAATAGACACATTTCTTTAACAGTGAAGTGTATCACTCATCAGGTTTCTGCAACATGTTTTTTTTTTTTTTACATTGTCTGACATTAACCTGCAGCAGAAGTTTCAGACATTAACAATATCTGTAGCCAATCGATATGTTGATTGTTTATTTGTTTTTGTAGATGATAAAGAGGCATCAGTTTAAATTTTAGTCTGTTTCATAGCCATCTCAAAAATCATTGCAGGATCTTTAAGTATGACTTTGTACATGAGTTGTGTAAATTCTAAGTACAATTGTTTTTAATTAAATACTTATAATAGTAGGACACAATGCATCTTATTTAACAGCGTTGATGCACTTAATCCTATGTTCTAAATTTGAGTACTAACTGGATACATTGCACAAACAGAAAAAGGCAGGTCAACATTTCCCCTTGTCCATACAGGTAAGAAACATCGTGTGCTTTTCACAACAAAAGACAAAGGACCGGGCTGGGTGACAGAATGTTCCTACCATTCAGAAGGTGTAGAGACAGTAAGTCTCGTGTCGTCGTCTTCCTCTCAGGTGCACTCCTGAAGCAGGTGCATTGAGCCAACACTGTGAAGGTGTCTCTTATTATTTGCTCAATTTCTCTGCAAACTTTCCTCAAATTAGCAACAAATTCTTTGAGCAGTCGCGAGCAGTCTCCACAGAAGTCAGAAGCCATGACTACATCTTCTATAGAGAGGTGTGGCACCAGTATGGCACCTGTCTGCTTTCCGCAGGTTGCACATAGACACGCCCACCGACATCACGTGACTGTAAGGTAAACAGCAACAGATTGTTCCCGACCCGTTACGCAAATCATGGCCTGTAAAAAAAAAAAGAAAAGCAAAATAGCCTACTGGATTAAAAGGCCCGTCAAATAAAATCGGGATGTTTTATTAATCAGCAAACTGTTCCACCCATTTAAAGTAAAATAATGCTGTACGTGTTCCCAGCAGGTAGAATATTCACCATGCACATTAATAACTTATCATTTAGTATTTGCCTACTTGCACATAGCTCTGTATATATATATTTATTTCTCGTTTACTGCACATAGTTCTGTTTACATCTGGTCACTACTGCACATAGTTATGGTTACATCTGTTTACATCTGTTTGTCCGATCACTGTCCACTCATATCTACTCTTTTATATTTTGTATTTTTAAGTTAAGTTTAAGCTTTAAGTTGTATTTAAATTGACACTTTATATTTAGGTTGAAACGTTTCGTTTACTTGCACTGTTGTTAATTTACTGCTCTGTGTGCCTTTGAATTGCCCCCCGGGGACAAATAAAGTTTTTTGAATTGAACTGAAGGCAGTTCAAATTAGAGCCATTTGTCTGCAGCTTGTAGCCTGGAGCCTCTCGTCTTTGGCTCTGAGCTACGTATGGATAATATTTATAATAATAATATAATAATGATAATAATAATAATAATAATCGTAATAATAATAATAATAATAAATAAATAATAATAATAAATAATTTATATTTTTATTTTAGTTACGATTTCACTTTCCGCAAATCTCATTGGCGAATTTGTTGTTTTTTGTCAGCGCGTCACGAACATGGTGGTTAAGCTCCGCCCTCCGCCCGGTTGACTTGGAAACCGTTGCAGCGTTGTTGACAAAGTCGGAGGATATCGCTAGCAATCACTGCAGAGGGTAGACACACTCAGTTATCCAGTTGAATGCCGGGTTTTTAACTACACTTGTGTGGTGGTGTTTGTTTGGTTGTGATGCTCACGCTGTTTCTTACTGGAACTGAGTGTCAATGTTCAAATCGTAGTCGGTTAACGATGCCCTTTAGCTAACGTTAGCACTTAGCAAGCTAGTTAACCTAGCCAACATCACAGTACATGCAGTAGGGGGTTGTTCCTACAGATGTTGCCTTTTGCGTTATTATAATCCTTGTATTCAGAATGAAAGCCTTCCTATCTGGATTACTCTCCTTTTACCATCAGTATGAGGGACATTACGGCGCCTGACAATGCCAGCAGGTGAGTCTCCTGCTGTCCTCACAACACACCGGTGCAAGATAATACTGTGATTCTTTACTGTAGTGGAAAATAACATGTTAAAAAGAGACATTTTGCAGAACAATTGAACAATGTAATCAATAATATGTACTCAAAGTATTTTATTTATTTATTATTTAATTAATAAATATTAATTCTATTTATTTCGAACGATTACAAATAGATTAAAATGAATAAACAAATGGAAAAAAAAAAAAATCTGTATAAAAAAAATAAAAAGCCAATTTCAATATAATGCACATTTGACTCTTTCGAAAAAGGGATAGGAAGAAGCCCAGGCTTGTCAAGTCCTACCCCCCATTCTTCACTATTAACAAATGCAAAATCCAATAAAATAAACTAAACGGACAATACAAAAAAAAATACTGCAATTGAGCTATTAAGAAAAACAGAACAAAACAAAAAAAAAAGAACAAAATGAACAGGCGCCATTAACATCTGTGAGATTTACATTCTCCTTCCTCATTTCTGTACTTTTCAAAGATACATCTTTTGTACATTTTTTTAAAAATTGCATTATATTCATACTTTGTTTAATCGTTTTGTCAAGACCATTCCCCCAAAACCACCCCGCAAATGGAAATACACACACTTTTTAAATTGGTCCGAGCATAATGCTGTTTCAAGTTTAGTATCCGTCTAAAGTTATAACCCCCCTCTCTGTCTTTGAACAGTTTTTGTGTGTTTACAGGTAGCAGTTTATTTTTTGCTTTATACATTATTTGTGCAGTCTTAAATTCTACCAGATCCCCAAACTTTAAGGTGTGTAATTTTAAAAACAGTATATTGGTGTCTTCATAATATCCTACATTGTTTATTGAAGTCCTTTTTGAAATAATGCAGAATACACTCTTTCAGTCTCGCCTTCTTCATATCGTCTTGCATTAAAGTGCAAGCATTATTTTATAGTTTGTGATCAAGATAGGGATCTTTTAATATTTTTTGGTGTATATGTTAAACATTTGAGAAAAATACTTGAAATTGAACTGAACTGAAAACTTTGCTGAAGTACAGTATTAGAACATATTTATCCTTCAGCACGCACCACACAATGTTTTGATCGCATACTATTCACCGATCTATATGTTACCATTAAATTTCCACTTTTCCCAGTAATAGTGATGCATCTTTTTTTTAAGGTGAGAGTGAAGACCGGGCAAAGACCCGCGAGAGATTTAATGAAGTGTTCAAGAAATACACTGAGTCAGAGAAGAAGAAGGCTAAGAAGAAGAAGAACGCTGAAACTCAGGAGACTATTGTGGTATGTGTTGTAACCATAGGCTGTAAATATGTTGTAACGTGTAGTTCTAGCATTAATGGTGTAGAATATTAATCAAACACCAAACGTTCAATATGTGATAACTAAGTGTTGGATTACTTTGAGGTAATATTTATTTTTCAGTTCTTCCTTATTTTTTTTTTATTCTGGTGAGATGTTGCATTAAACAGGCTGCAGAAAAATTTAGATTTTTATTTTTACATTCAACCTGTTTGACTTATTTTATCTCCTTTTTGCATGATACAATGCAGAATAACCACCTCAATTTAAAAGGGGGTATCTTTAAGGATTTTTCATGTACCATTATATATATTAAAAGTTCTCTGATTCAAAGGAAACTGGACTTAGTAGAAGATTATTAGTTGAAATTACAGTTGCCTTTGGATCAAGTTTTGATTTATCATGACCTGGATGGAACCTACACAGACATCCTAATATTCTCTGGTTCATTTTTTCTGCATCTTTAGCTTGAAAATTTAAAAAAGAATCTCAACCTTGGGAAGGACACAGAAGATGATGAGGCCATTCTCCAGAACACATACCACCCTGAACAAGGCAGCCCTCGCTACACAAAGAATAAGCGCAGAGAGAAGGAAACAGAAGACAAAGTCAATATCAACAACAGCAGAAACGAAGAGGAGATTCAAACTTCGAGAAGCAAGAGAAAAAGTAAGAGGGAGCTTCCCTCCCTCCCTGTTTCTGAGGACGCTACCAGTTACATCGAGAAGGATGTGGATGTTTCCAAGTCTCAGATCCCTTTGGAGCCAGATGATGATGGAGGTGGTGAAAAGGAAACAAAGCGAAAAAGTAAGAAAGAGAAAAGCAAAGGCGCTAAAGAGGCCAAAGCAGAGAGTCAGGTGGAGGACACAGAAGATAAGCTGCTGCATGAATACCAGCAGCAGATTGCACAGGAGGAGGAGAGAACTTTAAAGAAGACAAAAAACAAGACTGAGGAAGAGAGCACTGTCTCCCAGAACGTTACGCTAAATAATGATGTTGGCAAGAAGAAAAAGAAAAAGCTGAAATCTGTTATGTCAGAGCAAGAAGTAGGGTGTGTATATTCACTTTTTATTTGTTAGCTTGCTTTTAACATTTGTTTTAAGACACTGGGCTGCAATTAAACATAATACTGATGCCACGATTCTACTCTTTGTTCTGGTAGGGATCAAGATGAAGATGCTGACAGGGAAGCTGAAGTTGAGAATGAAACCCAAGGGGAGACCAAGGGGAAAAAGAAAAAGAAGAAGAAAAAACATGGTAACTTGAACTGAATTTCCTGTTCATCTTTTACAGAATTCATGATTAAAATGTATGTTTTCTCTCATTCTGATTTGTAATGTTCCCTTTTCTTTAGTTGCCAAAGAAGAGAGTGAAACTGAGGCAGATGTGCCAGAGCGACCAATGTTCGATGACAGCCTCGTGCTGGGAGTAAATGTCCACAGAACAGATCGCCTCAAAACAGACCTACTGATCTCACACCCTATGGTGAAGATCCATGTTGTGGATGAAATCACTGGACAGTATGTGAAGAAGGAAGACTGGTGAGAGTGGACCAAAATCTCACCTAACAATCAGTGTTCAATTCTGTCTTTAAAATCTCCAGTTACATTATTTCCTTGAACCTTCTGTCCTTCTAAGCTTGTAAACTATATGTATTTGTGTTTTAGTTTAACCAATGCATGCTGAAATTCAATTCGAGGGTTAACTGAAAATGTTCTGGTTGTCTTGTTTTTTTGTAGCCATCGGCCAGTTTCCTCGTTTTATGAGCGAGAGAACGTCGACCACATTCTGCCCATCATGACTCAACCGTTCGACTTCAAGAAGAACAAATCGGTCGTCCCTGAATGGTGTGAGCAGATCATCTTCAACGAACGCTTCGGACACTTTGTTGAACAAAATGATGACAGCCCCAGAGTCATACTGTTCTTTGAAGTGAGAGACATTTCCTTTTGGACATATGTGTAACCAGTTTACAGTGTATTTGTAGGTAAATGTTTCATTTCAATGTTTTCTTAAGATACTGGACTTTATCACCATGGAAGAAGCAAGAACCAATGCTGATGTTGACAAACAGGAGGGAGGATTCAGAAAGATTGCATGGGCATTCCTTAAGGTACCTGCTCATTCAAAAAAAGGTAGACCCGGCTGAGCTTGTTGTTTTTTTACTTCTTTAACACTCATGTCCTTTTCTTTATTTCCCCCCGCATATTGTTTAGATGGTCGGCACAAATGGTGTGCTGAATATCGACAGTAAACTTCGCCTCCAGCTCTTCTGCCCTCCACCTCGAGCAAAGAGACAACCTAAAACAATTGAGGTGGTCGAGTGGTGGAGGAAATACCCCCGATACAAATATGCCTCCACCCTTTATGTTACGGTGAAGGGCATTAAACTCCCTGAGCATGTAAGTCATTGTCTGCTGTAT